CCTTGAAAAACATAGTTACTTAGGCATTCGATCTTTGACCGCTCCGCCAGGAGGACAAAACCGAACTGACGATCTGAAAGCGAACGCTCAGCTATCCCGATCTCCATTGGGAATTCCGTTCACCTATGTCCTCTGCTGGACTTTTGAGCCGAGAATTGGTTGGGGGCGGGTGGGGGGCGAGGTCATTAGCAAATACAACACACTGCAGAATGATTCTGAAAGGCGTACCTTGGCCCTCATCGAGGAGGTTTTTTGAAATTACCGGGGTGTGATGACATAAGACTATTGTCGCAAGAACGCTTGGTTGGCACTTTGTAGAACATGTCTGGAAAGAGGCACCGAAAGCAACCGCGACTGACCCTGATGTTAATCCTATTCTCTTCTCCTCCCAGTGCAAGACGTCGTGACGCGGGGCCGGTTCGCGTGAATATCATGCTCATAAGCAGTGAGTCACCTCGAAGGACATGACTCACACCCGAGACGGTACTCGGCAAGAAACAGAGGTAAACTTCTCTCCAAATCAAAGTCAAAAACCCCAGACACACAACAGCCATCCGGTTAGATAGATGACTCAGCATTCAGCTCGTACGCCCAACATTATGTCGCCAACAGTAATAACTACAGAGTGGATTCGATGAAGAACATACAGTCAGCGAAAAAAAATGAACACAGTCCGGTGAGCACAACATGACATCTGATCGTTCTTCTGTCTGGACTGTATTGGAAATATCAAAGAATTACGAGTCAGTTCTGAACTGTAGGTTAAATGTTTTGGAGTAAACCACCAACTGCACTACGGGAGCGCTGGACTACACCGAAACCAGTCGGCTCATGACAGGCACGTGGGATTGAGTCGGAGTGCGTCTTTAACTGTAGCTATACATGTACGTGACATGCTTTGGACGGAGGTTTTCAAGATAGGACAGCTGTGGCGTCCAATCACGTCACCAGGTGGTTGGTAGGCTCAGTCGACTGGTGCATAGGTCAGGAAACAAGCAGTCGTTCCTAGGAAGTTTTTCAACCAATAGGACAACTCGGCTGTTCTCAGGACTGGGGACAAGGCTG